AAAAGAGTTTATATACTTTGTATGCATATATTCATATAATGGTTAAAGATTCTGTAAACTCAAATATGTAAATGTCAGCTCTTTATCCAATCAGAGTTTATCAGAGGCCGACAGCTGTAAGAAGAGAAAAAAAAAAATAATGAAATAAAAGAGTTAAAGTTGAATCATTTATTTATAAAAAAAAACTGTCTGTTCCCCGAGGATGCATGTTGATATTTATTGCTAAAAAAAAAATAAACCTTTGCCGACGCCATATTGCGAGCAATCCTTCATTATGGCAATTCCCGCGAGTTCTTATCGATTCAGCAGTTGAATTGCGGTTGCAACGCCCGCTGCGTGTCATATTGCAATAATTATGTGCAACATATGGCAAAATGAGCAATATGTAGCGAGGCTCCTTTGGGTTTTTACATCTCGCCCATTGCCAGTCGCCCCCAAGAGCCACGCCCCCGGAAAACTTTTGCAACTGATAACAATCATTGAGCTGTTGGCTCGTTCGTTCGTTCGTTGTGGGTTTCTGTTTAGTGTTTGCCTCGCTCGAAACTTTTCACATTTTCTATGGCACGCGAAAAATACCAAAAAAAAAAAAAAGAGTTCAAGGACATGCCATTTAAAGGTGGGGCCTAAAAAAAAAAAAAAGGGGGGCTAGGTATTCCCAGTGCTTTATTTAACTAAAAAAAAAAAAAAAAATTGCATTTTCGATTAAGGCGGCTATGTAAACAAAAAAAAAAAAAATCGGGCACATTCAATAAAGCGGCTCGATGTTTGTACAACATATTGTATCAATGAATGTGTGGCAAAAACTTTTCTTCAGTGGCCTTTAAGCGATAAGCGCGAAAGTTTTTCCGGCCATGCAGAGTCGTTGTATATGTCTTGTTAATGTGGAAGAACTAGAGTCCACAGAGAGTTCATTTCCAAAGGAAAACTTGGGAGAAGCTAAGACAGCAGAGCCTTAATATTTGATGTATATTAAATAAGTATATTGATTAGCTAAACTTTTCTTTACATATACATTTTTGTTGTGTATATAGGGAAATAGCTAAATAACTTGGGTTGAATATAAGGAAATATCTTTTAGTAGGCTGGCGCCACGTAATTCTAGCGCCTAATCGCACCAACCTTTCTCTTATCTATTATCGTAAACATAATTACTTAAGTTACTTTTCCAACTGTAATCAAATAATTACAGGACATATATACTATATATGTATGTATATGTAGAGGAGAGACTGTAAAGGAAAAATTCTGTGTAACCAAAAACCTGCCCCATTTAATTATATTAGACTGCAATTAGCTATACGTTTAGACTGTAAACAACCCCCAAAATGAAGGCAAGTCAAGGAAAGCTAAAAGTGTTTGGTTAGACAGATATCCTGTAAATTTGATTAAATGGAGAATTGAAGTGACTTAAATGTGGTTATAAATAGTAAATATAAAATAAAGTATAGAAATACATTAGAGATAAAATATATAAATAATTTAGAAGTAAAACA